ATGTTTAGGAAGAGTTGGCACGTCTTCAGACAGATTTTGTTCGGCGATGATGTAGTCTTGACTGTGACTTTGATCGTGTGCTCTCCGCGTCAGCTACAGTGTAGCCACCGTGCCACTCCTGTGATCGCGCAGCTTAAAATATGCACAAAAGGCAGTACAGAGTGCCACGCCACTTTGGTAGCCTCAACACGCCCCCAGACGTGAGTCGCAGTGCCAACACATCAAGTCTCAAACAATTCCAACTTCTATCGAAAAATAAAATTAAATGGGACCGAGTCTGCGGGCTGTAAAAAGGAGCATAATAACTTGATTATACGTTTGACTAGTTCGCATAACTTCGATTTTTACTTTCTCATGCTTCCTTAGGTTGAATGTTCCTAAGACCGACGACTGACGCCAAAAATGTGCTTACAGTTGAACATAATTTAGTCCTTTGTACTACTTTCCAAGTAACTCTCACCCCCGGTGCTTAAACTCGACAGATGAGGCGAAATTCTGCAGTGCACAACTATCACGTCACCGGATGCTCCCCTACTTGTATCTTCCGTCTAGATGTTGATTCGAATTCGTTGAATAACCGCTAGAAACAAGAATAGTGGACTGACGAAAGACTGAAGAAGGGAAATCGTCTTTGAAAAGGCCAGAAAGTCATTTAGTGAAGTTATGTTAATTTACCTAGCATTTTTTCCCAATTTGATTACCACGTTGGTGTCATGTAGCTGCATCTTTGTGTCTCCACCCATTCTGTCGTGTTGTAATGCTAAACTCTATTCTCGGTTCATGCGCTTTGTGCTTAGCACTGGGACAAAGGACTGCACCTCTCATTCCCCAAAGACCCTACCAATTTTCACAGACACAAACACTGTTTTATTTGCCCCTACAAAAGGACGTTCAAATGAAGGAAATGGAAAATAACTTGTGTTTTCTAAGGAGGTGGAGGTAAATAGGCATTGATGAGGTGGATCAACCAGGAGTGGGTGGACATGAATTTCTACCCTCAACACTATTCATCTAAAAAGGAAAAGTAGAAAGAAACGTCTTAAATATACCCGTAATGCTGAAAGCATATCTACCAAAACTTAATTCCTTCAAATGAGTCAGTTTTCCACTTCTGAATAGACTAAAATTTTCATTTTTGCTTTATGGTTGAGGAGCCGATTGTAATATCTCTGCCGGTGACGCAGACGACCAATCATTAAATGCTGCGCTCATCGAGGGCTGCTTTAAAATGGTGGAAGTATTTATAATCATGTTGACAGTAAACCGGTAGCATCTTGTTGCACTCCTAGGATTGGGATCAGCTCACAGCACAAAGGTGGTGTCAAATCCTCAACTTCGAACCCTTTTAGAATCGTTGTAAACCAAAGTACCAAAAGGCTTCACTACGCATTCACCAGTGGAAACACAAATGTCCGTTTACAAATGCAACCGTGCAGCCAAACATGCCCAACTGTGAAGCTTCGTATGGTAGGAGTTCACTAGTTTTAACTTGCCCTTTGGTACTTGACTTCACCTTTAATGCTCACCACAACCCACCTCCGTAATGGCCTCACAACCCTCCATCAATTCACTTAGATCGACAAATGGTGCTCGATAGCAAATTAAAACTTGCATAAGACGTAGTCACATGCCGATTTGTAATGGTGGCCTACACGCTTTGATGACTTCCAATGCCTACTAAGAATGATTTGCTCCCTGCCATTGCAAAACTACTTTTGAATTGTAAACAGGGATGAAGAACTGAGCTTTTTGATGCAAGTACTGAATCGAAGCATCACTGAGCATTAGCTAAAATGGGGAGAAGTTGCGTCAGCAAGTGAGAAATGCGACGTCTCCCAAATTGGCGGCTTTAGCGGATGTCTGACCTAATCTTCTGCACGTTTTAGATAATCATAATAGAGTGAAGCAAGTAAAATAACCGAGTTGACTTACCTCGGAAGTCAAAAATATGTTATGCGCCAACTATTAAGCTCCATGTCTCCCTTGGCCCCTTGGTTTTCGACCCTGAATAGGAGTTAGGATGAGATGAAAACTCAAATCAGCAACCGAGTTACACTGAATTTAACTCGCCACTTATCAACTTGGACTTTTAAGGGTACAGCTTTCGTGAGAGCGGTTATTGTTTGAGGTTTTATTCAACAAACCACCGCAACAGAGGTTACAATAATTATGACTTGGTGGTTGGTGTGAATATTTTGACAATACGATTATTAAACAGTTTAATAAAGGATAGATCGGTAATATTGCAGAATTGCATTACAAAATAATGCTATTCACCAAACCGGAGCTAGCCTTCAGCCGAACTCAGACGTTAACTCATTGCAATGCTAAACAAGCCTCAGAAGGCAGTTCGACATGGAGCATGCATTGGCACACAAGGTTAGTTCATTTAAAATAGCTTGTTGGCTTAGTTAACAGGTTGGGTTGCGGCCACTGAGTTGGAAATGTTACTTCCCCCGGGTGGTCTGGCCTCTGCAGCATGCCAGTGGCCTCAGTCCAGGCCTTACGACTTCTTATACGGTTTAAGAGGAGTGTTGAGGTTGCTAAGGCTTTCTATTTTGCACCACATAGTGAAATGTGTGTCCTCACAGCACACAGGCACCTTAATTTTGGTTACAGTGAATTCACACTCTGGAATGTGGCATAATTCGATTGACAACGAAGTGAAGTTGCCTAATAAAAAAAACTCGATTATGCGGTGATTAGTACTACTTACAAATAAATAGGAAATTAACATTAAAAAAATAAATTGCATGAATGAGAGTTACAGTGAACATCTAATCGAACTCGATAAAAGTACCTACACTTATTTCCTCCAATCTTGATTTTGCAGGCGCAAACACTGCTATAGATCGACGGAAGGAGTCGGATAACAGACTGATCGAGGACACAATCGCAAGTCTTAAATAAATGCGCGGAGAGGTGGAGGCTATTAATGCCTGCTTTTCAGTGAATAAAAACAATGCAATGGATCCTAAACTTGCAATTTCGTTGCTAACCTTTCATTGGCTACTTTTCTTTCACACAAAATTTCAAAAGTCAAAGTGAAATGGCATTCTCTGAGAGCCGATGTAGGTGGATTAGGATCGTGCACTGCTCGCGCAGCTTGGAGCTTGCCGTCTCCGGACATGGCCAGATGTCACATGGTGAGGGGAAAGTGGAGCAGCATTAATCCCACTTAACAAGGACACGCCCTCTGGGCCTTTAGCTGCTTTCTCACAATTTCTTTGAGGGATCAGAGTAGCGCGTTCATAACAAGTTGCTCACGATTCGATAGGATAGAGCAACAAACAAAGTATTAAGAACAGAACTCTCTAAAGATTCTCATCTACAAGCTGATTTAGCAAATTCGTTTGAGACTTTCTTTACAGCATTTCATACCGAAACTTAAAATCAGCTGCTGAAGTGACCACCAAAAAAGATGTCGCGGTCTGAAGCATTAAATGAACTCAATATAAAGTGAGATTGCCGTGACTTGATAGCAGTGGAGGTGAAATGGCATATCGTTGAAACGAATTCGCCCAAATTTATCGCGCATGCAACTGAGGACAAGAATGAAGGCCGTAGATGCATTTGCGTGCGATAGGGAATTCATGAGGAAACGTCGGCATTGCTGGCCTGCAATCATATTTACGCCAGCGATGAAGAACTTAACGCTCGGGTGATCAAACGCATTAAATAAAAAAGTTGGTTTACTAATCAGACGCATGCAGGAGAGACGGGAAGCCCATCAACCTTCAGTCCAGCAAAAATGATTTGCCAATTGGTGCGCATCTCGCAGGGACACGCTAACCCACGGCCCCAAACATGCTCTGCCCCTCATTTCACAGGAGAAAGGAAGTGAATAAGTCACCCTCTGGATATCAAAATGTTGCGTTTGATTTAAAATCCTCACGTGAGCTTTTATCAACTGGAAACGATTTTTATGACTTGTAAAAAAAAACATTTTCTGTTAAGCACGAAAGCAACTGTCTGAATGAGACTTCAGTCTTCCTGACGAAAAATACAAAAGGTATTACTAGTAAAATTCTTGCAAATGAAACTATTTAAAACGACAAAAAACAACTCCTCACTCAAAACATACTATAATGATGATGATTTTTGAGAACAACCGTCGGATCGCTTTTGAAAGCCCCAGTTCTTCCTAGCTAGTTAAAAATTGGCAAACTGGAGGCATGATTGTGAGTATAAAAGCGTGGCACCTTCGAGGATGAAACGTTAAAATTAGAAAATCAGTGAAACATTGACCTCCACTACTTTGATGTTTTTACTTTTCGTAAATTTCGAGCAAAGGACTACTTAAGTGCTCCGCCTAAAATCCTGGGCCGTATCAGCAGCCTCTCCAGCAGAATAACTTAACTTTTCTAAACTATCATTTCACTTGTGGTTTTCGAAAAAGTCTCGAGTCACCACTTTACTCAATCGATTGCTTTGAAGGCCAGGTTGGTGTAGAAAGTATTCACAATTACGCAAACGACAGCCGATTCTGCCAAAATTACGGGAGGAATGAATGACGTTAGTTGAGCCGGCAATTCTGACCACGTGCAAACAGCCTCCTGCAACCCATTTGACAATCTGCTCAAGGGTCTCAAAAAAGTAAGCCCATTCTTTTTGGTCTATTTCGGCCACAAGACAAAACCATAAACTGTGGTGCCCCACGGAGGGAACTCCTACTAATCTAATCTGATGGGCTGTAAGGAGCTCAACACAGTAAGCCCTACCATGTTTGGTCACGCAGCAAATGCAATTATGTAATGCTCCTTTAGTCGTGATAACGAAGGTGGGTAAAAGCATCTCCCCTAAAATGCTGATTGAGGTTCTCAAACATTTGCCACCTCAAAGATTTGTGTGACTGTAGTAACTCCCTCTATGTAGCTTCTACTGATAAAACTTGGTAGCTTAAGCCGCATTTTAGCTCTTTACGGAACAATTACTTTAGAAAGACAAATTGGAAGATGAGGGTGATGGACTCGGCCCAGCGGAGCAAAAAACATGTTCGCTCATATAGTTGAAATTTCCCTTATTAATTTGGCTACCGCATAGAATAAATGATCGTCAGGGAGGCTTACGATTAGTCGCTCAAGGCAGATGAGAAGGTGGTAGTGCTGCAGTTGCACGGGACTCATAGTGAGCTGGCTGAGTAGCGAGCGTGTATCGTCAAGCTCCTCTTGAATAGTCTCCAGCACTCCGCAGGTTGCCATAGTACCCACGTAATCGACACTTGCTTCAGGTGTCGCCGCCTCGCTGCTGCACTTTGCCATGTCACCTTTGGTCCTGTGCAGCGCATTAATATGTGCCTCCGCCAGTCGCTTGCCCATCAAGAAGGCCGAATGTTGCTCCTGCTCAAGAATCTTGAATCGCGCGACTTTCAAAGCCTGGTGGTGGTGAAGGAGAGCAAAGTTCAAATTACACCTTTCGTCGTTGCTTAATGCTCCGCTAAAATCTAGTAGCAAGGTAAGGGTTTAGGGATCCACGCTATTTAAACGCAAATATTGGTAGGCGAAGAAACGTCTACCATTACAAAATTGCTGCTCACTGGCCCTAAACACAAGGCAGAACGGTATAAATTATACATCAAGTGTGTTAATTACTTCTTACCGAATGGCTATTCAAACACTTGCATTATTGCCAGATTGCATCAATGCCCACAAACAGAACATAAATGACACTTTGGTAATTCACTACACCTTGAAGGGTTAAAGCAGTAAAATACTACTAGACAAATAGGATTTATTAGTTGCGCTTTAACAGTACTTAAATCTAAAGCACTGCAAATGAAGAAAATGCGAAAAACATAGGCGAAACAATTGCACACCAAGGCGATGAAGTCCTGCTCTTTAGTGTTCAACGCGTTAGCACATTGAACTTCGAATGGGCTAAAGTAACAGCCGCATCTAAGGAGGTCATTTTGGTTAGGACACGGAAATGCGAGAATAAGGTTTTTTGGAAGAAAGTGGTGAAAAGTGGAGGCTTCCATTGGAATCAGACAAACCACCAACGGGTACTTCGACTTGGCAGAGCTAACCGGGATGCAATTAAATGCTCCCATTTAAAACAACCCTCTACTTATGTGGCATCTGAGAAGCGAAAGCCGTTTGTATGTTGATTTGGAAATGAATGATGAACAGAATAACTTGGGGTGTGGACAGCACTAAATATCGCAAGATAAATTCTGGCAGCATCTGAAAGTCTCCTCCGCCGTACTCAGAGGACCTAATCCAATGAGGATATGCTTGAACTGGGCTTTCGACTTTGTAATGGCAAACACAAAGTAGTGAATACTGGGGACAGTTTAAGGAGATGTTTTTTGAGCCTCGATCGCTGGTCTATGCAACAATTGACCGACAGAAGTTTTTAACTCTAAGATTAATTTAAAAAATTACTCTGAGACGAATCGCCGCTGGAGGGGAGCCAGAAAAATCCAAGTTACATGGGCGGTATAAAGTCAATTTTGGCAAAGACTTTGTTCTGAGCAAATTATTTCGTGACGCGTTATATTTTGTATGCACTCTGGTGCTTGCAAGTTGCGGTGAGCTTTTGCATTTCCGATGACAAGAGAAAAAATTTGCCCTGCGAGGACTGGATCTGCCCATGAATGGCGCATTCACCAATAGTGCAAGGTGCAGGTTCAAGTACACGGAAGTACAGAGTCGTAAGTGAGTATGCAAGCACCTAGCAAGGAATTGTTGAGCTAGGCAAATTTGTAAGAAAAATGAATGCAGCGCACAGTTTGTAACGGTACTAAACGTTGTGAGGACAGTGCTTTGGGGAACAATATCTCATATCTCTGTATGATTAATACATTAGGATTGGGAGGCTGAAGACGACGTCTGGCGATTGCTATGACGGCATGCGGTCCGAAGGGAAGGAGTAGGACAGGGAAAGGAGGTCTTTTGTGGCAAAAATAGCACAGCATGGCTGTATACTGCCTTCCTTACCTTTCCAAAGCTGAATTATTTTTTTTAAGCCCAGAAAAATTTCGATTTGCATACCAGAACAGAGTAATGGTTTATTTCAGGGCATGTAAATAGGCGTTTTTGTTGGTTTCACACCAAGACAAGCCTAAAATGACGAATTACGGTTCTGTATTATTTTTGTTAATCTGAGTGGTTTCCGAGGCGTCAGATAATAATTTGCTTAAGGAGTGCTTATTACAGTAGTTTTAAGACAACAGATTTTCGCACCTTTTAGTTAGTTAACAATTGTAAAGCATCTTTACGATTAATTTTGGAGCTGAGATGCAATTGAGCTGACGGGATCCTAGGCTAGACTGTGCGATCCCTCAGGCGAATTGAGGGAAAGGATACCGAGGGTGGAGGGAGGGGGTGGAGTGGAAGGAAATGAAAAGCCTCCTTCCACCTACGGTTGGCTAATTTGAAGCGAAGGGTTTGGTGAACGATTACTCAGGTCAATTTATGGTCCCTTGTGACACTTAAAACTAATCTCAAAGAACAGGAAAGTCATTGTAAGTAACTTCTGAACTCAAAACTTCTTTTTGCGCAATGGTTTAAATCAAAAGGGTAGGCAAATAAGTGCACTTCTTGTCGACGCTACTTAATGCTGGATTAGTCTCGCGGCTTTTAAAGTAAACAAGGAGGACGGGTGGTTGCTTGTTCACCTCGGAGATGAAATGAAGCACGAAAAGACAGCAAGTAGCTCCCAAACGCGATTTGTAGAGTTGTGTGCAGAGCATAACCCTTACGGCCACAAAACTGAGCAATCTATTTTTCAAAGATACGTTGAAACTAACTCAAAGCACAAAAGCACTACGAGAGGAGGAATGAGGGTTCAAAGGTTAAAGTACCCATTTGTAGACAAACTTTGTTCAGCTTGAGGTTCCCAAGCCCTGGCTTTACACATTTCCCTATTATAAAAGACAAATCCTTCTTCTGCCTAATTTAAAATGGTGTGCAGTATGGAAGCTGCTATCTTTGTGTTGACTTTCAAAGCAGATTATTTGCCCCAACGTATTTGACAAGTTGACATCGATTTGCGACCATGAGGAAGCCACTAGGACTTGTTGACAGAACAGTAGCTTGAAGCACAGTTAAGTGTGTTTTTCAGGCTATTTGATGTCTCGTTTGTTCAGTGATAAATTATTTGTAATTTCAAAGTCACGGTTGTCCACCGCCCATGACTAGTGGTGTGTAACTGGTGAAACAATGGGTAGATGTAGGCTCACTATTTGGCTGACAGGCCTGGCATCAAGAAGATCCTCCACCCTCCTTGGTTCCCGTTAAAATCGTGTTATACCACAGGATTTTATTATGTGCTGATCTTCACGACGTGATTTATTTATCACTGCTGACCGAAGAAAGAGTTTCAAAGTGCTCCAGAATAGTAGCTCATTGCAGTTTCCACCTACCCGTGGCTGACATAGAGCTGACCAAATAACTGGACTTAGACTACCATCGGTTTTGCCACCTTTGCGCAAAGCCGTAGATGAAGGAAAAGGAATGCGGCCATGAATTGAATGGGGGATAAGTCACTGAGCGATAATCCGTTGCCAGCTGCATTGACTTTGCCGAGGAAAGTTGCGTTCTGAGCATGAATTGATGGCATTAAAAATAAACACTGCTTCACCAACTAAAGTGAGCTACTTGACAGCTTTAGGGTCGGGTCAAGTGACAGAGTGGGTGAGCCTGTGGCTCACCATTTGGACAGGCCTATGAACTATGCAGTTCATCAGGAATATGTGGAATGAGGTAGTAAAAGCAATAGTATTACTTGTTGGGTGATTTTTTTGTCAGCCTGTTGACTCTGTTGGTAGATGCGTGCGAAATTGGAGACAATGACAGGCACGGGAAGGGCTATGACGAGAACGCCAGAAAGTGAGCAAATGCCTCCAAAAATTTTCCCCATCACCGTGACCGGAACAATATCGCCGTACCTAAAAAATTAGAAAATGTGGAAATTTTAAATTCAGATTAGTGTAAAAAATCGACTACCAATATAACGCCGTGGCTGCAGGAGGTTCTCAATTCACTTCATTCACTCAATCCCTCTCTCATAATACGTAATGCAGTTGACCTCAAAAGCTCCGCCACCGCTACCATAACATCAGTGCCTTAATGAAAATTTATGGGCGAGTCAAATCACTCCTAGCCACGCAAACAAACTGAGATGCGTGCAGACCCCAGCGTCTCTCACAAGACAGGTCTCGGATTCACAGACGCGATCGGGATCATTGGAGCGCTGAGGGTTCAAGAGCCCAACCTCGTAAGAGATCGTCAAATTCTCTATTAAATCACCGGAATTGCTTTGGATGTACAAAAAAGTAGTATGTAAACAGTTTGCTTTAATGCCCCGGTGACTGTTTTACTGTTCATTGAATGAAAAATCCTTTGGTTAACTCATTTAACAGTGAAATCCGATTTCAGCACTTTTACGATTCAAACGAGTCTTCTGACACATTAATAAACGGTAATAAGGAACCGGAAACAGTCTTCTGAGTAGTAAATCTGCGTTTTAATTAACTAAATAATTTTTGAACTTTCTTCTATCCTACACCGGATTGGGGAAATTATTTAGACTGGCATTCACGAACTTCGTTGGCGCCATTTCTCAGATCGACTTGCCAGTTTTTTTACCTTAATTCTTAAAAAGCACTGGCAAAATTATTTAGGTCGAAAAATTGGTACGAACAAAGGTGATAGACTGCTCAACTGCTTACTGAAAGGAGCGACCATTCACACCGATGGAAAAGCATCTAGCGGGCATCCAGTTATCACAACCAAAATCGAGTAGCATTTACGTTCTTTCATTCTCCACGTAGGAGACAGGAGTTTGGGCAAAGTTTGTAGCGCCAGCGGTGTAAACACGGTAATTTTAATGTGCGGCGCCACTCGTAGAATCAACTGACGCCTGTCGAGTGTTAGCAAGATTGCTTAAGCATCGAAACAATGTTTCGAACAACAGCTTTCAGGTGAAGTTTATTGCCATTTCTAAGTGTTTGAAGCAAATAAAAATGCATGTGTTTGTAAACCCACCATTGTAACATTAACTAAACTCTCCACTCCATTTTTCAAATCCTCCCGAATGGCATGTACTCAGAGAAGAAAAACTGTTGCGTGGCAGCCTCAATAACAAAAACAATTAAAAAGAAACCTATTTTGCGACTAAGACGAGGTAGATAAAGCCTCCTCGTCAAGGCTGCTTAAATTGGACAACAATTATTGTAGAGACAAATTTGAGCAGTTAAAGTGCGTCGACTTTCTTGAAAAGCCTTTTGAGATCTCTCGTAGAAGTAAATGGCAAAGCAGATCGTTGTCTTTAAAAATTGGGAGCATCCGTTAAAGTGGGCCTTAAGAATTCCCCACAGCGCATCCATTCCTGTCAAAGTTGTGCAAAGCGGCTTCCTCCGGCCCCTGAGTTAAACGATCCCCGTGTTAAGTGGGAGACGCACGGCAACAGTAAAGAGGTATTTCGAACAACTGGTAAGCATTTTGCATAATTCGATTTCCCACATCCACGTTACTACCAAGCCTCTCTGCAACAACCTTTCCACTATAACACCAAGATTGTTGAATGGTAAGTAAGCGAGTGGAATTGTTCGTCAGCAAATCTTCCACTCTTAGTTTTGCAAAAATATCTGCAAAAATTGGCCAAGTAATACAAACTTCTTCTAGCATTGTGGTAAGCACCACAATCAAAACGTTGTAGTTGTCTCGTTACATAGAAAAGAGACTTTTATCGTGCCCTGCCCACCTCACAGTTTCTCCTGAACGACTGTCCAACACACCACAACTGTGCTCTCACTCTAACTGGAGTATCTCGCGTCATTTCGAAGCCGTCAACTTAAAATCGTAAGTAGATCAGTTGCTTAGACAATCCAACCGTTCTCGACTACTACGAAAGGACAGAGAAGTCCTTCTTTTGGTACTCACTTCTGAATACGGGCAATGGACGGACCGGTTGGATAAGGCATCTTCGAACCGTAGGCATCGCAGGCTCGTAAGAGAAAAAAAAATGATTTGCATCACATCCTGATGAAGTTACATCGTAACACATTTTATTCCCATATTTTCGTGCAACCGTTATGGAGCCAAATCCACGGAGAATCGTTTGTATCACATGTGTCCAGGTGAACAATATAAGCGGAATTCTCCCGCACTGTAGCAAAATAAATTTCGTTAAGACGCCAGAGGAAAGTACAATGGGAAGGGTGGATCTGGCGTGCGTGCATCTGACTCAATTTGAAAGTGCACTTCGTCTTTACCTGCCCCACGGGTCAAAAATTAATGCATTCAGGTCCCTTCGCTTAGCCGCAGAAGGTGACTCTAAAAGCCCCAAACTGTCATCAAAGTGACTGGGTAACCATGTTATCAACTAGGAGGACTTATTCTCAAAACTAAAGAATTTAGTCAGTTCTGGGAAGTTAACTTGCAATCCTCACTTATTCATTCTCTCTTGTGGCATCCAAACAAAATGACGCACCTTTCTTAGTAAGGATGCAAATGGGGATACTCTGCTAGTGTTCAGCTAACAAGCGAAACTGGATGTCCAAGGAATTTAAACGTCAACGCCTGTCACAACTGCCTGTTTTTTCGTAGATCATATAAAGTGACGTCATAACAACATTTTTTGGAGATAAATCGAATTCGCGGTTTTTTTGGATTCGCTTTGATGAGAGTTTTGCTACATCAGAATGGGCTAAATTTTGCTTTCCAGTGGAGCAGGGATGCAATCACCTCTGCATCCAGTCGAGGGCAAGGTAGACCTCTCCTCCGTAGCCCTATGAGAGAAACTCTGTGTTCTGCGCGGTTAGGTTAAAAAATCATGCCCAACAGCGGGTATCTGCGCCAAACGCCGATCAAATTATACTGTAGGGATTTGTGAAGTAAAATCCATCAATATGCTTTGCCCCAAGACAACAAAACTGAGTCCTCGGAACACATCATTCAGCTGTGAATTGTTGCAAGCCAGTAAATGTCGACGCCGTGTTTCAAAATCACCAGCTGTTTTCCTGGTTCGAAGAAGCCATTGGCAGGCAGCATTATTCGCTTTGGGACAACTCCCTCCAAAACCTCAACAAGCTAAAATAACCGTATAAATTAGCACTACAAAATGCATTGCGGAAGGCATAGCGTTGCCCCTTTCCGTATCCATTTCACTCGCTTCAAGTAATCGTGGCGAGTGAAGTCATTTGAATGCGCCTGTCGTAGTGCTTCACCAGAAAGATCAACCCATAAATCTCTTGACCAACAATTCGAGAATTTGATCACTTGTTGATTGTTCTAAAGGTGGATTGTTTAAACTGCATTTTTGGACAAAATTCTGCACTTTGATAAATGTTATTTTAAATCTCGGATTTGGTAGTGGACCGCTTAGGAAGCCCGCCATTGCACCTTCGCCGGCGGTTACTCGGCGATCCTCAGCCAGAAGTTCAATGGCTGAGCTCTGCTAGGTAGACAATTAATGTACTGCAGCTCTTTCTAGTGAGTTGGAAATCGTGGTGATTAATTACACATCTTGTGAATAATTAAAAGAGTGGCTTGAATTTCTTTAAAAATTAGACTATGTAGCCAACTTGCGACTGGAAAAATAGTCCCATTCGCAAGAGTGTCACATATTTTACTTTGTTTCACATTGCAATCGATGCGGCCTGACTTTTTTGAGATTTACAGCATTCCTTTTGTTAAACAACGAAGAGAGGAGACGATATTTTATTGTCAATCTATCGAATGTTCAAGAGCGCTGCGGAGGTCTGTGCCGAAAAACCAATCCTATTTGTTAAACTGAGGTAGCATATGGCGCCATCTGCCCTATAAGCAATGATTTAATACAGACAAACACCCTTATTCTTCATAACCCTCCTCCCCTCAGATGTAGGCTCATTAAAGAACGCAGAAGTTGGGTTAGCAAAGAGAACACAAGATAAGGTTGAGAAAAGTGGTCGAGGTCTTGACACTTCGTACTGAGGAAGGCAAAAACGCCTGTTGACGTCACACTGGTGAAAGGGACAAGTGATAATGAGGTTGAGGTTACTGTGAGGGTATTGCAATGTACCTTGCTTGCTCAATGCGGAAACAAGAGTTATGACGGACTTGGAGGAAGACAGCACTACTGCGGCGTTAAATAGCCTTGCAAGGGGCGTCAAGGCCTATAGTGGAGAATTTAGAGTGCATGTGGACATTGTTGTTTACCACAAGGTCTAAGAGCGCCAAAACAAAATTATTGCTGAAGTAGAGCCCTAAGTTAAGCAGCCTCGAGTGATCTGCAACAGTGAGTGACACTGATTAAGTGTAAAGAAACGATGGCAAAATCGGAACTTCTCGAGAGAGTGAAGTGAACACGTTTTCCAGGCACTGCCTTTATTTCAACGCACAATCCCTACCTTTGGCACTTTTTATCGGACAAAATTTGCAAAAAAATTTCGACCCAGTGTCCGGAATTGTAGGTCGGCAGGAGGCAAGTTATGATTTGTTATTTCTCCTGCCTAAAGTTTGGAAGGCACAAGGGACCTCACACAGATGCCTCTCACTGGATAAATAATGAAGGACTCTTTTCAGCCACTCCTCTATAGGAGAAGATGCAACAGTCAATGTGACGTACGGGCCTTGAAAACTGTTAACGGCGCATTTTGGAAGTTCTAGAAATACTTCTTGTTTAAAGCTGCATGCTATTCAGTCCCCGGACAGTGGATTACCATCCGCTGACACTCGGCGTATTTTCCGATGGTCTTCAAAATGTGCCGACTTCCACTTCGTGCGGGGCATTTTGATGTTCCAAGACACATTCCTCCACTTTTGGGTCATTTAAAATTAATCACTTAAGTGCAATTTCAGACATGGGAAAACTGCATTCTTAAAGTGACTTTCAACAACCATCTTGATCATCTTGTCTCCCATGATAAAATACAATAAACCGCCAATCAGCTGTTCTTCATTCTCGCAATTATAGAAGAATCATTTTACCGGACGTTGGCTTGTCCCTTTATAATGAGGAGCATCAGCACAAGTCTTTGAAATGGACTTGACGTGTTGTGAGGCAAAAACTTAGCTTCTTCTGATAATCGACAAAAAAAGACCAGCGCCATTTCTGAAAACCAACTTCACAATCGCCTCATTCAACAGAGTGCAGTATGCCTACAGACATGCCTTCTAAATTTGTTTGAAATTGGAAAAAAATTTCCGAACATGAATGTGAATCAGTTCATCAATGAGAAGGTGAATGAGAATCATTGAACAGGTATAATCCATCAAGTTTCTCGCAAAATATCTCAAGTTCGACAGCCTGACTACCTTGGCATACCTAAGTATTCGACTTAAAAACTGCTCATGAGTGGAGCATTACGGAAGCAAAAGTCCGAACGATTCGAGTGACAAAACAGGGAGTCGTAGTTGCCTTGCAACACTTGCACTTGGCGGTCCTATTTGGCCGAACGGCTTTGGCTATGAAACTATTTTCGCTCCTTTTTCGTGGAATAGCGTTGTTCTTTTTGTAAAATAGAAACACCACCAGACGTTGTGATTAATTTCATTCTCCGATGATGGCCTAACTGGACCGGATGTTTAACAGGCGCAGGAGTGTTACAAATCCTATGGGGCGAGACTGGTGGTCGGTCGGCTATTGCTTGCGAGGCTTGCTTCTGAATTAAGTGTAAATTTAAAGCATTTAACTGCCTTTAAAAAGGAAAGATTAAAAAAATACTTCAGCGATATCAACACCCGAACGCATGCATGGAAGTGGTGATTCCATTGCCAGAGGCTGGCCAACTGCAAGGCTCAATGATTACGCTTACATAAGTGACATTTGAGCAAATTAGATGTGACGAAGTTACAGTGAAGTTCCATTTGTGAAATCGCTTATTTTGCGTTAAGATGTCGGATTAACTTATAAATGAAGGCTCGCCGTAGGTAATAAGAGTCCGTTTAAAAGGTAATGGACCTTAAAATTATTGAAATTACCTTTACACTCTTGAAAGTTGCCATTCCGCTATTTGTATTTGAGTCAAGTAGAACCGGTGACAAAGCGGCATATCCAGTTTAGGGACCAAAGTACACAAGGAGAGGAGCATTTCACGACTCAAGAATAATTAGCCAGGGTGTGAAGGATGGTTTGCCACTTCCCATACTCTTGCGCTATTTTCTATCAAACAAGGGATCTTCCGTTACGGTGCCAGTTTGGCACTTCACTGCACAACTCGCCTGCTTATGGCCGGATTTCTTACTTATTTTTGGCACAAACCAATCAAAATGGTGGCTGATTGATGGGGATGATGTATTAACCTTGGCTCATTTTTTACCCTGTTTCCAGTTTTGTGCACCATTTTACTTATTTTCTGGAAGGCACCAAATAAAGACCAGTTCAGAAAGTCGTGCTCTCGCTCAGCCCCATCCGGTCAGTAGATATTACAAACGGATGCACTTTAAATATGGTGAAAATTTTTATAAGGTCAAGGTCAAACAAATTCTACAAGTGGACGGAACTGGGACCACTGGATGACCTCGACACGCACCACCACCTGACAAGAAAAGCCATTCCCCTACCGACCGCTCCAACTGGCAGCGTGCCGCGATTCAAGCTCAAGCCGGTTCAAAACACAACCGCACCACTATAGCAGTATTTCCCGAATTTTCCTTAGCACTTCACTCCGACAGATTTACTGGGTTTGAATGAATAATGCAGAGAATGTGCATGTTCTGCTTCATTGGGCTAGCTTTGAAAAGAAAGTAGTTCATTTAGAAGCACGGTAACGAAGGCAATCAGAAGCTGCTGAAAAAAGCTGTGAAAGCTTTTATTTTCATTGAAAGCACAAATACCAAGTGTAAGTTCATGCTTCACATATCGACGAATCCGATTGCTTTAGTGTTCTTGATGATAGAAAGCCGGCAAACGAAACTTCGAGTATGCTTATGTTTACCGACTACATGATCAGAAGCGTGCTCCGCTTTCAGAAGGATGACATGCAATAAGAGGAATTTAAGTTCGGATTGGATGTCATAAAAATTTTTTTACAGAAAAGAAGAACCAATAAGGTATTTGAGTAAAAGCTGGTTTGGTGAGACATCTCATTTGGTGTTTTAAAATGAATTTCCGGCTTGGAATCTAAAACAATTCGTGAATCTAAAAAGCGGTAGCGCTTCCGCTACCAAAATGTTAACATTATTGCCGAAAGTGTTTAATTTAATACTAATGGGAAAAAATAATCAACCAGCAAAGTAGGTGGTACGCAACTTCGTTTATATAGGCACTCATTAGACCGTGGTTGAGGGGCTGGACGAAAATCTGGATTTGAATTTTTTGTAGGATGCATGATTATGCAGGTCATGAGGGGCGCAGTCGTGCGTCGGCTACTAAGATATACACAAATGATTCGTAAGAAGAACAAAAATCTTCATGTTCTCAGTCAATACACCTTTGAGTGCTTACTGCTTCAGAAATACAAATTTATGCTTCAACAAACTCGTTGATGAGCAAAATGTGAGCACATACAGTTGGCAAAACAGTACACAGCTAGTACAACTGGCTGTAAGACTCGACATTAGCATTAAAATGTTTCCATAATTGTCTCCTAAATGTTACACTTCGCACTGAAGTAAGGACAACTTTCATTGCTGATTAAGGAAAAGAGTAACATTAGCGCCCATTGGATAATCAACTGGCACCCTCGCGCCATATTATCAAATGCGGTCCTCTAACATTAAAATTCTGAAGCACAGTCGACGTCAAAATAAACATTGGAAAACGTTGGAAATCGCATTAGGTTCTAGTCCTCAAATTCGAATGGATTTAAAAATGAATAAATCTGTCCCTGTAACAAAGTTCATAAAAGGTAGCCACGTACCCCAATGTGGTCATTGTAACAATTGTATACCACGATGCAGTGGGTATACTTGTAAATTGAGAGCTTTCCGATTTCTCCGCATAATACATAATGGTTGCAAATATGATAATAGCCATGGACATGCTGAACAGTAGGAACCCGAGTTCAGAAGCGCACGACTTGAGAGTATAACCAAGTATTCGAAGACCCTGACTATGTCGCGAGAACTTAAAAATTCGAAACACGCGAAAGACTCTTAGGGTGGTAAAAGACCCGGAGACATTCGTTGTCATAAAAAGGCCAATGTAGTATGGGAGGACAGCGACAACATCAATGATAGACATGGCTGACTTAGCAAATTTGCAGCGATTGGGAGCGGCGTAAAGGCGAGCAAAATATTCTATGGTAAAAATCAGAACACACCCTGTGTCAACGCAGAAAAATGCTTGTTCGAATTGAACACCACAGGACACAGGCAGGCCAGTCTCCTTCGATGCTGAGCATGTAACCGTTTCAACAATGTTTGCCAAAACTGAGAGGGCAATAAAAAAGCCAGAAACGTAGTACAGCACTTGGCCAAGGTTGGTGGAATGTGGATTTTCAAACGCAAACCATAACTGTTCTCTAAATGAATGTATCTTCGACCGATCAAATGGCTCCTCCTCCTTTTTTGCCACAAACCGATCAGCATCTTCCTTCTTCCTCTCCATAAAGTCTTCATAACAACAAATCTCCAACGCGTCAGGACGTATTCCAAAAAAGTTAAGCTCTTCTTCGTAGACAAAGACACATTCATTGCGAGGAAAGTGGAGTCGCCCCGTTCGATAATAGTTAAGAATGTAGCGAAAAACCTGAGGATCGCGGTCAAAAAAATATTCTTCAGTCAATTCGTTGTAAAAATACTCTCGTTCTGATGACCCTAGTAGAGTAAATGGGTATCTATCAAGGGTCGACTGCCACGTCTCGAAAATTGTGCCACTGACATTGATGCGCGTTTTCTTTTCAGGATTTTTCCTGTTGTCATCAGTAGGTAACAAGGGATGTAGGGAGCTACTCAAAAGTGGAGTCCAGCCCATCGCCGAGGCTCGGACTAACAGAAGCCATGAATACATCCTATATGTATGCTAATGACGAAATTCTAAAATGGAATTTAATTTCGTTCATAAACTTGGCTTAACCAATCAACGAAGTGAGTTTCAAGGACAGAATGAACTTCATGCGATTTAAAAATATCAAAGAGAATAACTTAATCCTAACACTCTTTTAATTAAGCACTGATGATTAGTTATAATAATAAGTCGTAATTTAAACATTAAAAAAGGCTCCATTATGGTTGAATAATATTAGCAAAAACGTTTACCATTATTCATCAACAGCTCATAGCTAGTGGGATTGGTAAATTAAAGCATTAATAAATAAATTAAATATCTATAATGATTTTGAGGCTTAAAATTTATACCGGAAATGAAATCTAAATTCAACTATATGGCATGGCCAGCGGGCTTGTGGGCATGCTACCTGGAAGGTAAATTCGAGGTAATTCAAGTTGGCGTCTTAATTCAAAGCAAAAAATTTCAGTGTCAACCGATTTTGCTTAATGAATATTAAGTTCCGCTCATTCCTTCACATTAGTGGAGAATTTTAGCAATAAAAGGCCACAAGTGGATAAATGCTTTGTCATTTCCCGAAAATTAATTGATGATCCTGCATTTTAATAAGGTGGTAGAAGTTTGGTGTGAACTATCATGTTGTAAAATCTAAAGAAGTCAGTAGCGCATTGCACCTCTTTTAAGTCTTAAAACATTCAAATTCTTGTTTAGTAACATAGAGGACCATTTGGAAGGTCATAGTCCGCATTTTTGTTACTGCTCAATGATCTCCTCTAGGTCGTTTTCCAAGGTAGGCTGAGTCTAGTGATCCTCATCGTATTTATTATGTTCTGTTTATCCTTTAAGTTTTTGGTGAAAATGTATCAGTTTATCTTCTATGCACTATGTTAACCACCTAGCATGCGATCAATAATGAAATACTTACTTTCTTACTGCCACTATGCTTATAATTAATTTCATGTTACGACAAAGTCTCAGTCGTTAGTTAGCCTGCACAAACGAAAGCTAGGCTAGGAACTTAGTGTAAGCCATCAAAGTGACTAGAAGCTATACTTAGGCTATTACCCGCCATGGGTCATTCGATGTATTTTGATTTCCAGCTTGAAGAGCGACTTAATCAGTGCAAGCAGGATCTGGAAGAAGAGGATAGGACCATTGCTAAATTATCTAGGTACTGGCATCTCCTCTCCTGTTTTCATGCTTGTAGCGGGATGAATTCCTGCCTTCATCGTGCACAGAATCAATTCGTACAACCAAATGAAATTCATGACATTCGAGAAACTGAGGCTGTGCTCTCTCAGGTGAATCCTTTTTTGGCTATGACTGTGTTTCAGGTTGGTGAGCTTAGACGTCTTCAAACGAAATCGAAGGATAGAATCGGATCAAATATCGAGCTCATGGAAAATAAAAATGACAATTGCGAACAAGATTTGGGTGTTTCGACTGTCGTTAAAAGAGATAGGAGAAAATTGCTTTTTTTGGAACCAGTGGCATTGTCATTGCGTGATAAGATTGAGCGGGCTGAGGAAAATCTGCGCGACTCCCTCTCTCACATAATTGATCAGCAACAAACAATTGAGTAAACTTAACCATCACTACTTTAGCTTATATTGCTGGTAATCGATCTAAAAATTATTTTTAGGCAGCTAACATTAGATAAGGAACTGACACTTCAAAAGGTTTCAGAAATCGATGGAAAGTTTAAAAGTTTGGTTGAATGGATGCAGGTGATAATAACCTCCACCAAATCAGCTCTTGCTGAACACGAAGAAACCGATTTCTCCGAAGAAGCTATTCAAAGGCTTAAGACGAAAGTGAGCGCTCTGGTTTATGCATTAGTAGAGGGGTATAATTGATTTTTACAACTTATCGTTAGTGAAGCCACTTTTTTCTTACAAGATTGCCACAAGCATCACATTGTCCCGTCAAAACGCAGTTCGCATCGAGGAACTCCAAACCAACCTTACGGCAAAAGACATGCAAATAGCCCACTTGAAGAGTGTGATTGCTAAGTCGAACTGTATTTTGAGACGATTCACTGGGACTGGGGAGGAACCAAAAAATGGAAATACAGTGAGTGTTTCATTCCTCTCAGTCTTGTGGAGCCTTGAGTTTATGAGAAAAACGTGGAGATTATGTGGCTTTTATTTTTACTGCTTGGGTAAAGAGTAAGGTTTTCCAGTTTTAGCCCCACAACCCTCCTCACTCAGTTTATTTTGCTGATGTCGCGTTGCTATTAGCTTAAAATTTTTGGTCTCTTCCCATTCACTTTGAAGGCCAATAGGGTTGGTAGGCGTGTATTGGTCTTTCCCTTCTTGCCGCAGCTGTTACCACAGCAACTGTCTTTTATTGTTCGTTAGTCATTGCCTTAAGCCTTGGGTATTATGAGCAACTTTAATTTCAAGGAAAGTTATTTGCTAGTGTTTATTATGAGGTATTCATCGGTGCGTTACATGTATTAAGACAACGAATTTAGAGGACGGAACAGTGCAAGGAAAATTAAATCCCTTGAACTTGGAAGGGAAGGAAATTAGAATGTCATCCCCACACTCCGAAGCAAACTCACCCCAGCGTACTTCGGGGACGTTTGAAAAGGGTAAAAGCTTCAGGTAAATCGGAGCGAATAATAATAAGTTATTAGTGCTCATTCTTGCGGTAGTCTAACTAACAATTTCCGGTTTTTATCCACATCAACCCTTAAGATATGTACAAATCCAATCGATAGGTTTCCAAATAACATTTTGCGCACTTTTAGACAAAGCCTTGCTGATTCTTTAAGTGAGTCAGGTTGGGTTTGTGAAAGCTTGGAAGAAGGAGAAATAATTGATGTTGTTCGTCGAGTGTTGGCAACGCTTACAAGCCAAACTGAGGTCAGTTGCGAACCCTTGACCGTGCAACCACAAATTAGTAGTTTGAAGAAAGATCCTCTTGCAGTTAGAAACGACGAGGCTTGAAGAAGTGTTTGTAGTTATTGCAATAAGTTATTTTTCGAGAATTTGTTTCAACAGTCCTTTGAATGATTGGATTTCGCTAACTGCATTTGGAGTTTTGTATACAATTGAGTGGATTTTTCCCCTTCAAATGCAGACCTGTTGCAGTTTGCAATCTCAGGTGACGGAATTGGTCGGTCGAGTGGCAGCATCGGAGAGAAGATTTGAAGAGATGGTGGAGGAGGGCTCGAAAAGTCAAACGAAACGAAGCCAAAGCCCTCTTAAGACTGTTGAGTTTTTGCCTTGTGCAACTGATCTCGAAAACTCTCATGGGCAAGTGCGTATCCTCTTTGCCATTTTTTTCTTTCTTTGGATATTAACCAGCGGAATTGCATTTTTAGTTGCTACAGTTTTTGAAGGAATTGGAATACCGAATTCCAGTTAGTCAAGCGGTTTTTGAGGAGATGGACGTCACTAAACAACGCGATTTCATCCTTAGTAAGCTGTTTTCTATCGTGATCGTGAGTAGGACGGCATGCATTGCTTTGCTAACGCATTGGGCGCCCTCAACTTTTGAAGCGGCAAGCAAAAGGTGCACTCACCCTTTTTTGGATTTTTCTAGGTTTTGAGGTTGTCTGCTTGTAATTTACGTAAGCAGAGGCTTACGACTATAACTGATAGTGTTTTTGGCATCCTAAGCACTGCCTTCACTGAATTAATGTTGCAGTAGCTGTAGTCGTCTGTTCAATTCGTTAATGTTTACTGACGCCCAAATGGCAGTGAATGCAAATTTATACAGTGCGTTTTTCTTTTTATTATTCCATGTAATTTGATGCAGAAACGGTCTCTCGGACTGTGTGGTGGTTGCAGAAGGTGGTACGCTAAGGGAGAGACCACAGCTCCAATAAGAAACAGTCTTGAAGAAAGTAGTGCTGTTCCCCAAATGGAGGAGGCATGTATGAGCTAGAACGAAGTCTTTGAGAATTACATAATTCAAAGAACTCAAATTAAATGCTTGCAAAATTAGCACTTAAAGGGTTCAACATTAAACTCGAATGACTTTTACGCAAAAGAGATTTGAAGCACCATTTAATATCGAAAACGAGATAGGAATCAGTCACAAACGCACCAGAAATGTTGGAAGCGGCAAGATTTTACTTACACAATGGGTAATTAACTTGCACCACAGTTTTGCTGAGATTTTTATTCCGCTAAATGCTCTACTTTATTCGCATAAGCAGAGTGGTTACTTTCTATGTCTGTAGACTACATTGAACAGTTGGGCACACCCTCGCCAGCCAAACCGGAGAGCGAGTTAGCGCCTAAACTCCACAAACGGATGCAACGGCTTCAGGACGAGCTGGCAAGCCGCGACCTGCAGCTGAGGGCATGGCGCCGGAAGGTGGAAGGGCTGGAGGAACAATTGGCGATAGCCAAGAAGAACGAGGCGGAGGCCACTGAAAAGCGTGTATTCACAGAGCAACGTGCCGCACAGCTACGTAAAAATGAAGTTGAGGCAAATAAATTGAAAACTGAGGTATTGCAGCTTAGGATGCAACTCAAAGACAGCAAAGATGTTAAGGTAAATGAAAAAAAAGGTTGAGTTGCTTGATTTCTCGTTATAATGTCTTCAGGATTTTACAATTGCCAGCATTTTTAACTTACTCATTGGTTGACGGATAGTTTGTTCATTAGCGGAACTAGATGAGATGCGCCTGCAGAGAATTTGGGTCCTTTAAAGGTTCACTCCTCGCTCAGCAAATGACAAAGCACTCGCCTCACTCCCACCTAAGCTGTCCCGCATGGGCTCCGGAAAGGAATACAGGCCTTTGTTTGATAAAAAATGGGACAATAATTTATGTGGGCCACCTCAATTTCTCCAATTATCTACGTTCACCTATTCTCATGCCGTGTTTGACTGCCTACAAAAAGAAGGACACGAATTTAACAAAGTAGTCTATTTCTCACCTTCGTAGGTAAATTTCCCTTTTTTGGAGACTGATTAAACCATTCACATCCATAAAGTCCCCTACTTTTTTAGGTCTCGTATTATTACTTTATGTGTGTACTACTCTGATGGGAGGAAATGGTTTTAGAGTTTCCAGGCAAATTGTGGTAGAACCGCTTTCGTCTTTGATGGAAATTACATCTTTGGTGCTGCCAACTTACCCTCTTCTCTGTTCATGAGCTTAAATGGAACAAGTGAAAGCGCAGTTTTCCTTTTGCAAGAAATAGTGCCGAACAAATAAATATGCTGCATTGCAGGGGCATTTGCTTAACCAGATTTTATGGGGTTGAAGGTGCATCTTAGGGGAATTAGCACTCCAACTGTGCAACATGCACCGGCTACTGAAGGTCTGATAAACACAACGTGCCTCCGTTTTTGACATTTGCAATGCCCGCACTGTTAGACGTGCTTGCCGGGAATTCCCTCACTAAATGCCCCAGAAACATCGACTAAGAGCGAATTAATTAAGAAGTTCAGAATCACAACCTTAAAAGTTGCATAGGCAGGAGAAGTCTCAAAACTCAGCTCATATTTTGAGTCGCCTTTGTAAAGAATGCTCGTAATATTACTGAGATCACTTCAATCCTCGTAGACATACCTAAACGAAGGAACTGACCATTTCATAATTTTTCCTTCTTGGGATCAGCAGCCAGCTTGGAAAAAAGTTCACCTTCGGTTAAAATAAATCATATTGTTTTAGGCTCATTTCTACGGGTGAATTTCCTGCGGTAGAATCTTCAGTTTGTATGGGGTGCAAGCTGTCAAGCAATGCTTTAAACAGATTTCCTCTCCATGCCTTTATGCAAAGCGATTTTTGAGCTTTATTGTAGTTTGCAGGGAGTTGCGTTAGTGCCTCGATCTCCCTTGCCACCTGTCACCATCAAGTGCATGTATTGTGCCTTTGCGGCAGAAGATGGAGTTTCTCTCACTCTGCACAGCCAGTCTTCAAATAATTCGCTTTGACATCAGCGCTCTTTCTTGAACTAGCAGATGCACCTAGGCATGGTTCGGCTCTAATTATCGTTCTTCAAAAGAAGGAGAGCTTCTATGCACTCGACGTTCATATTTAAGTGCCTTAATAATGACTTCTCTTCAAAGGTTATGTGCTTTGAAATTGTCATAGAGTCGGCTGGAAGCAGAGACAACTCGAGTCGCTAGGTTGGAAGAGTCACTGCGGGATCTGGAGGAGATCCGCCAACGACAGATCAATCAAATCGAGGAGCTAACCACTACGTTGGAGACAGAAAAGGTCGCAATGACAAGAAACCCCATTCAGCAGGCTCAGCGTGTTCATTTCGATGTGGATGCTAGTCAGACACTAGAGGATTCTCTCAAAGAGGCTCAGGAGGCAAGGCGGCTTTATCCCTTTTCATGCATCTATGCGTAGTGTCTGCTCATCCCTTCTAAGCAACACCATGAGATGTTGTATCTTTTGATTGCTTCCACAATATGCCAACTTGTTCAAGCCGGACTAGCTCCGAGAACGCTCAACGAGAATGATAATTAACACCCAACGAAAGAGAGAATTTTTCGTTAAACTACACGACCCACTATTTTGGGCTTTTCTTCTCCTGGATGTCCTTTTCCCGACCCAAACTTGCTGCTTACAAAGACTAAATCCGATTTCGTAGAGATGTGGCTTATTCTTTACTGATTTAATTAATGGGGGTTGAGACTGCTTCCTCAGTGCATGCACAACCCATTGGAAGATGCGGGAAAAGCTTTGCTTGACGGGAAAATGTCCCTACCCGACTACGCTGGAGATGATGGAAGGCACAGTACTGGAACAGAATATGCATTGCCGTCATGAAGTTGGGTTTGAGGCCACCGTCAAGGGGAGTGCAAGGCGGAACCCCAAATAGGTAATGCCCTCTAGCAGCACAAAAACACCTTTGTAATTCAATAAATGCGTGCACATATATTTGGCGTTTATTTGAGCCTGTTTCGTGAAGAGTTATAACAATTCATGCTCTTGGAAGTCACACTATCGCATCGTGCTAGGCTACTTGTGGAGTAAGAGAAGAACAAGGCTTTTATCTTTGTGTGCTGTCTCTTGATGGATTTACCAACAGTTTTGCCTCTGAAATATTGGGGAAGTCATGAGATTTTTGGAATGAATAACTTTTACTCTGGTGCAATACGTCCTTCTCAGGCACTTTTCAATCTGCCAATGTTGCACCTCATGGCCATCACATAAATATTGCTAAGTTCTCTTCTTCCCTTCCTCTGAAGTGGAATCATTTAAGCATTTTCCTTTGTGCTGTTCTTCTGTACGTCTGAAATTACCGCGAGGCCATTTGTTGTGGCAGATTTACGCAATTGGGACGTATTGAAGGGCATGTTAAAGTCCAAGTCTCCGAAGTACTCATCTACGCGTCAATTTTCCCCTCAATTTTTTTTACTTTTTCAGCGTAACTGAAAGTGAGACTGGGAGTGAAATGCCCTACTCTTGTGGTCGTGCGCTCGTTGAGCCGCATAAATCAACCGTTCTAGTGTCCATTTGCACACCTTCTCGCAGGTCATAAAGTTGCCTTGCCATTTGGAATGGTTGGAAGGATCGTCGTCTGTTTTCGGTGCCGAAAAATGCATCTTTTGATTGTATGGCAACTGCGACTCGGACGTTGTGTTGTTGACTGTTAAACCATGTCAGACACAAGAGCAGCACCTCTTGTGCATCTCTCCTCCACCTTTGTTATTAGCCTACTTAAAGTAGACGCCTGTGTCGCCATCAGTGGCCATACCTCCGAATAGGCAGTAGCCGTTCCGTGGAAATGCCGACTAGTTGGTTTCATTTCATGTGACTTATGAGGCGTGCAGACATGAACGCCTTGAACTACGCAACACACCGTTAATGTAGTCCAAGATGACCGGAATCTTTTCGTGGTCGTTCTTTCTATGAAACCATAAAGTTCAAAACAAGTTTTTCTGAGTCCCATGGTGATCAATGAGCAAACACAAAGTAAATTTTCAGCTTAAATTATGTCATCGTTTAGAAACTGATGTTGTTTGACAGCGCATGCAGATGCTCCTAAGAGGAGTGCATTATGTTGGCCTGATGTCACAAACGCATGCTATCTCTCTCCGTGGGGTTAAAGTCGAACCCCAAAGCCCATTTTATCTCTTAATTGTTAAAATAATTGATTTAATGAATGATGTTTCAGCATCACATCGTAAAAATGCGGCATTTTGAGCGTGAAAAATTATTCCTTTTCAAGGCTTAAGCCTTTCGCGTGGCTAATGAATCTTATGCGTTGCGTTTTAGCTGCGCGACTTTAGGGATATTGTTGGTCGACTGCTTGGAATGCGGGTAAAGGACCTTCCAGAACCAAATAAGGACATTCTGCACGGACTGGAGCGCCTTCTAAGGGAGTCCGGGCGCAACGCTCTCAACCAAAGTACCCCTCCCTGTACTCGCAGTGCTCCGCCTCGGAGAGCGCTTCATGGCTTCAGTGCACGCATGGGATTCACTCACGGCGAGTCCGTTTTTACTGTCAATTACAGTCAACAACAATGAGGGCTGCTTAATTGGAGATGCAATCACAATTGTCGCTTTTGCCTAAATGAGCGTACAGAAAAGGATCCGAAATCCAGAGAGAGAGAGCGAAAGAGATCTTCCCCACCCACTTGTCGGGGTGCATCATGAGTTCTCCACTATACCGCGATCACGATCGTATGTAATGGGCTGTCTAGTTGAAGACAGGTATGTGAAATTAATGAAGGAATTTCGGCTTAAGGACCGCGCATAAACTGTATGTAAGCGGCCTCTACAATCTGGAGGAGATGTCAAATAAACCATAAAATAATGCCATTTTCTTCAAGGCTGACTAGGTAAATCCAATTCTCGTTTGATCTTGATAATCTGCCTTGCAAATCAAACTAGTTGACTATGAAACATCAAATGCGAGGTTTTGATGGCTGGTGGTAGGGAACCGACACATATTAGGGGTGGATTAAACACCCCAGTGACGTGGCACAATGGGTATGTACGCGTTTTACACACATCCCTTAACTCTACTTGCCAAACCGCTCCTAACAGCCCACACGTGGGTCCACCGTGGCACAACTGTTCCCACATCCCCGTTCCCGCGACTGCCCCAACAGGAGGCCACCATTCCAATGTGGCTTGTTTCAGATAAGACAAATTAACAGTATTTCTTACTGCTGTAAGTAATTTGTCATTTGGCAATTACAAAAGGCATTCCACTCAGGAATGGAGAGGTGGCTTTGTCGTTGTGCCTTGGGGTTTTTTTCAATGCTTCGGTTAAGAGTCAGTAGGCTACGTTGGCTTCCAAGCCTTGAGTTTCCCACTTCATGCATCACTGATCTTGTGCCCGCCTTAAGCGTTTCTGCTTACCTCTGAGGATCTCTTTAGCAGTGTGGCTATTTAGTGTCTTTTTATCCATTTGTGACAAAACTCATCTTCCTTCTGACATCTATGTTCACCACCTTCTACCTCCAAAGCATCGAATATTTTCTCTCAAGTCAATAATTCAAAAACTTGCTTCTCCACCATCAGCTTCGCAATCCACAATCTCGCTCGCCTTTTATTGTGGTTAAAATGGAGTCCACTGCGTTGGCTAGCGGTTCTTGAGCTACAAGAATGGCTCCGGGCATGTCGCCAGAATACGCATTCGCACTTCCTAGCTACCTCGATTTCGTTCTGTTTTGATTGGGGATAATTAAATGTTCAGTTTAATACCCATCTGCGTCCCTTCAAAACGTTACTTCGAGTATTGCATCTCATTTTCGCGGATGTAGAAACAACATTTTGCCCTCACACGGTTCATACGGCATCAGCCATAAAAGTAACAAAAGTTTCTTTCCAATTTTCGTAAGTATTTGAAATCGTGTACAATTTACATTCATGATATTATAGCTGCCGTGTATTGCTTGTATTTTTTTCTGCCACTGATCTACAACTCTTCAAGGCGATTTCCTTCTTACTTGATTGAAACGAACTCATAGCTTAAGGAATCGCTAGCCCTGAATGCTGCCGCCACTTTCTTTTTTCCGCATTTTTATTTTAAGTGTTCAGCAACGCCCGGTGGCACCTGTTTTGTACGATCCTTTATGGCCTCTGTGTTATGACTTTTGCCTCACGCATAGGTTGCCAATGCAATCTCACATCGGGGTAGTTGACAGGCGGGAAAGCGAACCAGTGGGTAAAATTTGGCCATGAAGTCGGAATTTAAAATTTGGTTTATCTACGCAGATTAGTTTTCAATACTCCATTCAGTGGTCAGCCCTTAAATTTGTTTTCGAAGTTTCAATCATTCTTTGTGTTTTGGATTAGATGAACAGACATGTAGGTTGGCAGGTAAATGACATGTGAGATGGCGAATAGGCATTCCCCTTGTGCCTCTTCTTCATATTAAGAAGTTTTATGACCTCATCGCCTTAGTCGAGCTTGATGTCTCCCCTTCTACAATGAATGTGATGAATTTGGCTCTAAATCGGCGCAAAATTGGGCATGGAATCCACATCTACATTCATAAAATGGTGCCGAGGTCAAGTACAAAGGCGGTCCGCTTTCTCTCATCCCAGCAGCATCGTCACGTACATAAATGGCGAGGTTGATTACTCATCACCTGGATTGACACGGTTCCCTGTTACTTTGGTGTGGTGGAAGCATGCACATCCTCCCCTCTAACCTTTTTCCCTTCACTTGCACCCACAACCGTCCCCTCCCCCCTAGGCCATATCACTCTCATGATGTATGTCCGCGGTAAAGTTGGTCCGTCGTCGTGACTCTAATAAGGTCCCGCCCAAACAGGTGTGTGCACATACAGCCGCCTTGTGGCTTGCCGACATGGCTTCAGCAGGAAAAGAAATATTAACTGCTATCGTATTGTCTTTCAGAGCAATGGGCGCGTACACACCGTGGGCGAAAATTCACAAGACACAAATCATGTAGCAATCGCCTGCTTGAATACACATTTTTAGCACTGTTTGAAATTCTATTCACTCCTTCTCCGTTTGGACAAAAATGCAAATGGGATGCAAATTAGGACATTTAAGATGAATTAAATGAGCCTCATTTGTCACTGCAACAATGATGCAACAAAACATCGCTTTTGTCTGTTCTCACGTCACCTTTTGAGAAAGACAAATTTAAGTTTTGGAGACGCTTTTGGCATTCCACATTCTGTTCCTTTGTTCAGCCATCGGCGCTACCGAGCGTCGTGCCAACTAGGTGCTCCACTTAGCTTAACCTGATGGTCTGAAGAGAAGTGGCATCACTTGACGTGAAGGCTGCTGTGAGCAATTGGCTTTACAAAAAAATGACCGGAATAGGTGGGAGGATTTCAGGACTGGCAATGTGGTGTTAAAATGTCAACCATAAGGTGAGGTCAGAGTAAGGCTGTTATTTGACATTTCATTATAGGATTCTGAAATGTGCAGGAAAGCATATCCTAGCCATCACTCATGACTTGAGGTTTCTTGTTTGATTTGGAAGGGAAATGCCAATCACAGCCTACTAATAGCTTATACATTTTTCTCTTCTCACTCGGGATTGTTTGACTGACACAAGCATGTCAATTGTCAAACGTAGCAACTTTTGTGGTTCACAACTTATAGTCTTGCTGTAAATTGCTCAAAAGATTCACTGCCGCCTTCCATGTGTCTACGAGCTCTGCCCATATGATGTGATTAAAATCGTATGTCGAGAAATGACATGTTGAATTTTTAGTGCTGAAAAATGTGTATTTTAGTTTGCGTTTTCTGAGTTCGTTTACTTCTTTAACGGTGCTGATATTTTACAGTTTTTAGAAGTTTTGATTTTGTCTCAGTCACTGGACGAAAGCACCGGAATTTATAACTCCAGTCCCGAAGGCTTTTTAGCCGTAACTGAGCGATGAAAGTGTCTACCGAATTTCGGCTCTCCTCATGACTTCCTACAGCACACTGCGCCAATGGACGGTGTGGCGCCAACTTCATGCACTTTGGCTCAATGTTGGGAAAAGCGCTTTCGGGTGTGCTCAGGAAATTCATGAGAGCATTTTGATATGTTCAGGGCATTGGGATATTTTAGGTTGGGTATTAACAAAATCGAGGAGGGAGGCTTTTGGTGAGGGGACAATGTCCGCATCATTTGTTAATAATGCAGCAACTCTTGAATCCGACCACAAAATTATTCTTCTTCTTTACTCGGGTCCAAATTTAGGATAAAATTTGGACACATTTGGCAAGGTTTGCTATTTATTTAGATTTGTAGGCAAAATTGTAAAATAAGGTTTTTTTACTGCTTTTTTCAGCAATGAGTTGCCTTTGAAAATGAAGTATTTGAGTTAGTCGTGCTCAGAATGATAAAAATAATCAAGGGAAGAGGATGAGGACGAGGTTTTTGCACGTCTAAGCAGCAATCAACAACGGTTGACACGTTTCTTGTCCTCTAAATTCGACTTCAATACATTCTACAGCCTTTAGCGACTCGGAGTCACAAGCGTCTGAACGAAAGAGCGGTCCGATGCAACACACGGAAATAAGTAACGCTCGCAGCAGCCTACGAACTTCCGCCCCGATTCGCTGTCCCTCATCGTCCCTTCTCAACACCATCTTCACTTCGTGTGGACACCAACAGCCTCCAGCACGGGACACTCGGCGGTACTAGTCCAGTCTATCTGGTTTTCGGTCACAGAGATTGGAGTGATCCAAAAGGCTGCACTTAATGCGCATGTACGATGAGATCTATCGAAAACCTGGTTCATTTCACTTTTTTTCTTTTCGCTCTGGTAATTCCCTTGGAACAGTGATATGTGCAGAACTGTGTAGAATCAGAGAGCATCAGCGATTATTCTCTAAAGCAACGAGTGGCCGAGAAGGCACGGGTGTGGCCGTGCAGATACGAATATCCGAGACTGCCACGATCGTGCCACTGAGCAGACAGAAAAGCGGACGCTGTTGTATCATTTATGCAAAACAAATAAAATATTTAAAAGAAAGATTTGGAACAGTAGATGTGAGCGAGATGGAAGAAAGAGACCCGATTATCTTGGAAATAGCAGAACCTATCGAAGTTCAATTTTGAAACGGTGAAATATTTGGAGTAATTTAAAAATCAAGAATTGGCATAACCTTCAATCTAACCACTTTGAAGCCACTTACATAGCCACATATTTGCCGTGTCTGCTAGAAAATCTAAAGGGAATTTTTTACTAAATCCGGGTGGAGAGCTTCTGAGCTACGAATTCTGTAACTTTGCCAAGCTTTTCTTAAGGATTCATAGAATACTGACATGAATTGAATGCCTCATGTAGTCACCTACCAGAGATAGCAATTTGAGCCTCTGCCATTCAGCTATGGCACATTTGGGAGTAAAATAATCCGCCTTCCACTAATGTACTGCCACTTTCAAAGCCTCGTCTTTCAAGATAACGGGCGACAACCTTCCGATATTACAGAAATATCGATGTGTCAAGAGCTCCAGTGGTCAGAAAGACCTAAGAATGAGTTTCTGCTTTTCTGATGGTGATAACAGGATGTCGAATTACTGAACTGCTGAACCTTTTACCGATTGCGCGTGATCTGTCGCTAACATTATTTTGTATTTACAGTTGACCCGTATTTTTTTTGAATTATGCAGTAATTTACAAACTAACTATCCATTTAAGGCCTTACTATTACTTAATTAATTCTACTTAGAGCAAAATGTTCAGCTATGTTTTGGCATCGTGCGCAAACCCATCAGCAGAAGGAATCGATGCTCATTCCCAGTAGGTCCCGTGACGAATGTGGATCCTACCCTGCTAAAATACTCACCCGTTTTCCAAAAATACCAACAACTTGTCTCCGCTTTGTAACGATAATACCGTCACCGCCGTTGTCAAGCTACGAGGCCGGAATTTTTAATAGACACAGTAGGCAACAATGGGAATGAATACTTGACCAGGCGAGGAGAGTCGTCCTCCCTTGTCCAGTTGGATTGGGAGGGAGGACTTTTACTTCCTTACAGCAAATAACTTCAAAATTACTGTACAATGTGTTCTTGGTGCTATTCTTCTTCTAACATTCTTCTACGTGGCAATACATTTTCACCGTCAATTTGGAAAACATCTTTTGTGGTACGATGACGTCCTAATGATTGCATGCTTTTAAGTTTTAAAGCAACCAAAGGCTGACATTCATTTGGCATTCAACGGGCAATAACGTGAACAATTTCTTATCGTTTCGATTACTTTTAATTCTGACGTTTACTAATGCAGCAAACAACTCTCGCCTCTTGCTTTGATACACGTTCCTTTGGCTCCCAACCTAATTCAAAAGTAGCTCCGCATAGTTTCTGCTTCTTAACGAAACGATATGCTACGATCAGTGGTCGTGAGTTGATGAGGAGCCGTTGTCGTTGCTAATGGCGCCAACCCGAGTAACTTATCACATTCCCGCAAAAGGACAACTTTGCTGTTTGATTCCTCGGAATGATGATCATTGTCGATAAATATCAGTGCAAATGAGCGTAAACACATTTGAACTGTCATTTTATTCGAAACCATCACCTCTGCGTATTCATGGAACAAAAACAAAGTGAGATACATCCAAGCACGCCCTCATTTCAAACATTAACTTTCATTCCTGTCAAAACGGAGCTTTGGGGATTAGCTGATGGTTAGCACAAAAACAATGCAATCTCAACTAACTGACAAGCATTCTTTCGTCACCATCGCTAATTAGCCACATTTTTCGCCACTATTCTTGAAGATAGTGGTGAAATTTTTGGCTAAGACTTCAATTCCTCTTAAAAAGGAATAATAGACGGGGAAGGCATTTGCTTTTGTATATCTTTAAAGGTCGGAACGTGGGATCAGCATTCCTCTTTAAGTTGAGAAATAATGTTTTAGTGAAAGCGTTTATTCTAAAACAAGTACAGGGAAACGTCTTTACAACAAACGCATCTCTACTGCCCACAGAAGGGCGTCAAGGGGAAGCGCAATGGGAGAGAAGGTGTACGGTGACAGCGTGTCATTGAAAGGCCTCGGACTTCTAAATGCATGTAAGGGTCTACATTCTGTGCATAGTACTGGTGAAAGTTCACAAGCATTATGGCTGTACAGTGCTAACTTCTCGTTGGAGAAATAGGATTATATCTGCCAAAAAATATTCTTAGGTGAGAAAAGAAGGCACGAGACTGTATGTGATCAGTCGATCTCCTCGTCTCAAACTGGTTTGTGACCGGTTTCCCCATTAGATGTTGCACCATTTGCCGATGCAGCCGCTTCGTCCGTGAGACGTTTGCGTTTGAAGAAACCACACCGCCACATAATAATAATGATGATGATTAAGAGAAGGATGCCCAATACTACGCCAACAATGACGGGGAGGATAGGGATGGTTTGGGTGATGATCATTTTAATGCCCTCGAAAACAAAGTTTTGCGAGACGGTCAAACTTGTAATGCTGAAATTACCCGCCACTGGAATGCCAAAGGCGTATAAGGGGATTTGGGCAGTTGCCGTTGTAACGATGGCGATGTCAGAAAATTTGTGTCGAAAGAGGGTGTCAGCCCACACCCATCCACGGAAGACTATCCGTACTGCGTCGCCTCGACCAAGCCGGTCGATCTTGCACGGAATCTGCATACAGTATTAGCATTCAATCACAACCAATACTTCAATTACTTCGATAGGGTAGTGGATTTAAGGTTTGTTTTTTGGCAAATGTGTGCACGTTAGATATCGAGGTTCCGCATCGATGCATTAGCGAAATTTGATTAGTGTGAATTCAGACAAATAGCAACGTATTTCACCTTCAGAAATTCACCTCGACCATTATTAAAAAACTAATTAAACTGTCCTATTCCAATTCAATGATCACTGCATAAAATTAATTTAATTGAAAGAAAAGTGAAAAAGCGACACATCGATAGCCTACATGTAAGCAAACAGGTGAACCAAGGTTCTCGAGGGGGCGATTGCAGGACACGATTTTCTGCTGTTGTATGCGCTCGCTCAGGATGTCCCCGCCGGTGGTGGATCGCGCCTCACGCATCGGTGCCGCTGGCTCATAAGCAGTGTCTAAAGCCCTCTCTGTGTCGCGTCGATCTCGATAGAGGAAGGGTCGTGCTAAGTTGCGACCTTTACTAGCATTCGGACCTCCGCTGCGTTTTCGATCGACTGCAGTCAAACGCAATGGGTTGATCGCTGACTCGGGAGTGTAGCAGGTGCCTCTTAGCTGACCGTCAGCACTGACAACCTGAAAAAAGGCGGACGTGGTGCATTAAGGCCGCCTAAAATAGCCGTTCTACCTCTAAGTTACTAAAATTATCTAAGCATTCAAATGTGATCAGCAATTTCCTCAACAAAAGGGTCCACACAAACTTCTGAACTTCGTATTTATGCAAAAACAAAATGGAGGCTAAATTAAGGCCTCAGATAAGGACAACGAAAAACTTTGCGCCTGCCTTGCCTCTCGGTTCAAGCTTACGGGCGCCGTGCATATCTGCACTTCGATCGAAATAGGCAGTGAGCTTTAAAAATTTTGAATAGCTTTGTTAATTTTAAAATGACTTACAACAGCTTAAATTACCAAAAAAATCATGAGGAGCAACTTACACTTAAAAACCAGAGCACCACGCATAATTGATCGACAGTGAGAAGGAAAAAGTAAAAAAACTTGGGCTGCAGACAATCCTTTTATAACTGCTGCGAAAAATTGTGTGATATACCAGTTTTTCAGGCTCCTATTTTAGAGCTTTCCCTCGCTTGCATAGAGCTGCATGATGCTGAGTTAAACTTTTGTTTTGCTGAGGGAAATGACTGGCTAAATGTGGGAGTTCAAACACTGTCGCAAGAGCTTTGCTAGAGGCTTGCAATTCTCAGCACCACATGAAAGTACTCGCTCTGGAAATATATAAACCATTCCCCTATACCATCGCCTCGCGAATCACGTTCGTGTGAAGGTGCGATTCATAGAGTTATTTCAGTAGTGACTTTATACGTAAAGCAAGGCGAGTCGACCTAATTAATAATGAAGTTTAGAAGTGTCTAGCAGGACTGAACTGAACAAAGTTCGGTGCATCTAAAACTGTCACTTGCCTCTACTGTTACTACCGCTACGAGTGATGTGGAGAACGATATGGGCATTGAAGGTCACTTACGTCAGGAACAAAAGGAATTTGTAGAGGCGGCCCACCGCCAACGTTTTGAGTTCGGATGAGGTCTAGTAGGTAGACCAGAAAGTCGCCAGATTCGGTTTGAAGCGGCACGCTCAAGTTGACCCAAATGTTCTCCATGGGTGAAGGCCCCAGATTTGACACGAGGAAAATCTGCTCAAACTCAGGCCCAATGCTTTCTGGGTGCACGCGCTGACGCTCTGTGAATTGTGAGGAGAAGTTCCTCCGATCAAATACTGTATGACCCACTGAGGATGAAGAGAGCTACAGGGTTGAAAAGCATGCAATGCAGATCCATACGAAAAGGTTTTGGTGGTCATTTGCTTATAGAGGACTTTAAAAACCGAGCAAATAAACCCGAACTTTCCCATTCCCCAGAGTTATATGAGCTGAGAGCGTGGCAGGCAAATCGTGAGAATAGGTGCTTCCGATGCCCAGAAGATTTCCCCATTTCAAGGTAATTTATAGAGCTAACTTTGCGTCCAACGCCCACCCCAAAGGACGCACTGGAAATGTAAATTCTATTGCCATCTTGTCCAGAAGTTTGTGCTTAATTCTGTTCAAAAGTGATTGCTCCCGCGATATTCAGTGACCGCTGTTGCTTTGCTAATAAAGGAAGCCATAAACAGACCACAAGAGATCTCTTCCTTCTACCATGGGGCGTAAATGGCTGGGAAATCAAACTTTCATCAGTAATGTCTAAAACTATTCAACAAACAAAGGCATTGCTTTTGTTAACTATTATCAATTTGGGGAGTTGAAAATATGGCTAGTTACTTTCAATATGAGAATACAAGGAAAGAATTGATGGTGCACACCGCTACCAACTGTACCCACCTTGATGTCAGCAAAGAGTTTAAGATTGTACGCGAACTTCGCGACCACTTTTCGATCACGCATATTCTCGTTGTCGCTTGTCACTTCAGCAACAATTTCCAGTCTTCTGGGGGGCTGCCAAATGGGGTCAGTGATCTCAGCGTTGGTGACATTTCCGTTGACCTGAGAACTGTTCAGTGGCTCGTGGGACCGGGTTCGGACCCCTCCAGGTAGGGGTTGGAACACCCCCGAAGTGCCCAATTGAAAGCGAATCTTTTCCCACTGTTGACTAGTAGAGATAAATGGGTTGCCGAGGCTGCAAACCACCGTTGTTATCTGCATGGATTCGGGTAAAGGAATGTGTCGATTTCAAAAGGCATGAGTCTACTCGTCATTTATAAAATTGTCTTCTTGGAGGTATTTTGCACCAATTTGCATAAAAAAGAGATGGCAGCAACACTAAGTATTCAGTCCTTAAATTGCCGATTTATTGCCCCATAATAATCTCCATTTTAAGGTTAACAGACTAATGCCTTGACCGGAATATGCAACATCTGAGGTGATGAACAAAGAATTTAAGGCTTTTGAATGGCTTCACACAAGAATCATGATTGCACCAAAAGTAGGGGAGTGATTCATATGGGCTGTGTGCGTGCAATATGATCCTGTACTAATTTCCCACACCATCGGAAGTGAGACTAAATGGGTTTCTGGAATTCATAACTTGAATAGCCACTAGGATAAAAGACAAAAGTTTCTCCATATTCTGTCTGATAGCCACAGGCAGGAGTGTGTTCGGTAGGCAGCTTTAACACGTTGCTTTTGTGACAGGAAATAGAAGGCCATAAGCAGTCATGACAGTCGGTTACTTGAAAGTTTACCTTTGCCTTTGCTTGGCAATCAAAATCTATCGAACGTGTCCAAGTGGTGTTGGTTTTGTAAACGATAGTGGATCGAGAATTAACCGCATGAAGATGATTCATTTTCGATAAATCCCTTCTAAGAGTTATATGAAGTAGCCACTATTGAAAGCTGGATGAGCTCTTGCCATTATTATTGTGAACAAACGTAATAAGGAAGATATATTTGTAGTTATTTGGCTGCGACACATTTGCATTAAAGTAAATGTTCAAAGTGGCACAAGATTAACTCGAGGGAAGAGGAGGAGGAGGATCGAACACGAAGGTGGAGTGCGTATCGCCGATCAAAAGTGGGGTTTATGCTACTAACGTGGCTTGGGACTTAGACCCTCTAACGGTGCTGCAGTGTCAGAGCTCTCAAATGCTTGTGTTTAAAAAGCTCACAAATTTAAAGAGCCATCACACTTGTCCCTAATCAAAATCAAATGCCTAGCCAAGTTGTTGCACTAAAATCACCCTAGCGCCACCAGCAGAACCATTTATGGTGAGTTATGAGGCACCGGTGGAAGAGCGGACCGCAAAGGCCCACCTTTGGACACAAGTGAATCGCATTTTGCAATAGTTGAGACGAATCACTTAATAAGAGTGGGCGACTGCACTTTTCCTGTGGTCACAATTCCAGATGATGGAGTTGAATTACTGGATAACGTCATGGGACGACATCCGCAGGTGAGGAGCAACAATGCACACACTACACTGTAAAAAGACCACACTTTGCTTGTGAGGAGAACAAGGCATACTCCTCTTGCGTTCATTTTAGCTCTGAATGACAGTTCACCTCTTCCTCATAAGCTTGGATACATTTCCCCCTTTTTGCTTGCCCTATTTGCAACGCTGAAACTATTTCAATTGAGAGTCACTTCCTCGTAACAACAATCCACTCCTGTACCAGTCATCTTTCCTCGGAAAGCTAAAACAGACTGGGAATACGTCATGAGCACATGTTGTTACCCTCTTCTCTAAGGGGGTTCAGATTGCAAAATTGTGTAATCTTTCTCCAAACTTCCCTAAAAACAAATGTTTCACTTTGAGGTGAAATTGCTGACTAATAGACTGCAAGAGCTTTCGAGCACTTTCTGACGTAATTTCGTACCTAAAGAGCGCATTGCCTCCAAGGCGTTCAAAATTTCTGAAACGCATTCCAAGTGACCAAGAGAGACAAAGGTTATTTCTCAAAACTTTTAAAAGTAAATCCATTAACCTAAACAAGCCCGAAGACTAACATTAAATGGACTAACACATTTATCTGCATAATTTTTTGGCAATTTTAAAAAAAATTGGATGGTAGGGCTTGTTCGATGGGTAGGTGCAACGTTTTCTACGACTCACTGGAATTTTCGACTTGTTGACTCCATTTTTTGCATTACTGTTATCCGCCTCAGCATCGTTTTCCGTCTTCTCTTCCATGCTTTCCTCCTCCATCTCAGTCAGTTCGGATTCGATCTTGCAGGCGTAGTTTTTGTCAGGTATGTAGGCAAAGTGGGCGGGTATGTGGACTCGCACTTTCGTGTCGTAGGCATTTTCACCCAAATTCCTCACCGCCACTGTAAAGTTACGTTCATTAACTCTTTCCTTATAGTAAATTGTTGATGGACCCTCTGCGCCAAATTCGAATCCCACTGACGTATCGTATACCTCGATGTTTAAGTCGGGTACACAAATGTCGTCGTAGCCGCAGTCGGGGTTTGAGAAATACATAGGCTGGCTAAGGAAAATGGGCTCCCCTTTTAAAGGGTGGAGACTCCAGTTTGGTATTTTGAAATCTTTATTTGCTCCAATATTCATATTTTCGGAAAACATTTCAACGGTCACGTTAATGACGACTGGTTTCCACAATTGTTTTGCTGTCTGGTGCCAACGTGGTTTAACAGTCAACTCGAACAACTGAAAGCGACGAAATCCTACTGATTGGCCCTTCAAGTTGGATAGCTTTATCTCTACTGTGTCTTCCACCACAGAGCTGTCCACTTTTACAGATTGTAGACGCTTTTCGTTCTCCTGCTTTATTCGACTATCCAAATCTATACGGTAGCGGAAGCGAAGGGTAACAGCATGTTTTGAGGAAAAAAAGGCTTCTCGAGTGTAGAGACTGAGGCTGAGAGCAACACGGTAGTGACAATGGGGAGATTCAAGGGGACTGTTCTGCGGACCTGACCAATCCAATGTGGGATCCTCTGGGAGCCTCCATAGAGGCTGTCCCAGCCACACTAGATTTCTGGACCGAAGCGTCACGATCTGGAAAGTAATCAAGGCCTTGATTTCGAGGGACCGAATAGGAGACTCAACACAAAATCACCAAGCAATCACTTAGCAATTATCAGTAAACTATTCGGAGGATCTCGGATAAAGATCTACACTGACCTGTTCACTCTCATAGTCCCCCACAACTAAGTCGGGGGACATGTTTCCATCAACATCTGACTTTGACGCCATGCTCCATCCAAAAGCTGAGAACGGTTGTTTTGGAGGCGAATTATCGTCAAAGGAACTTTCGCAGGCGAAAACACTCTTTGTGGGCAAATTAGCAGGATGGATTACCTGAAATCCATAAAATCATTTCAACTCCAAAGCTTTCCACGTGCACGTCAATTCAGACTTCAAAGGACGGAGAGGAAAGGCTGTGGCATCATTAAGCGATATTTGTCAAAAATGCTAGCCACCTTTATCTATGAAATGATAATCTTCAAACTTTGATGAAGATAGGCACTGATTGATTAATACGTTCACTGGAATAATGAGTTTAGCAGAAATGTTTGCAACCTTTAAGTATTTAAGTATTTCGGCGTTCCCACTCAAGACCACACAACCTGGGACGAAGTAAGTTGTACCGTTCCGTTCACAACCACAATCCAAATGTGTGGCCATTAGCACATACAGCGACAAATATACAAGTTTGTCAGGCTAATTCAGCAGTCAGAAAGGTAGAATAAACAGCCCAAGTCATTATGGCATGTTTAGATCAAAGAAAGGAGATTAATGCAAATGCTTTTCTTATTTATAAGTCAGTCTGAGAGAACTTCAATTGTAGAAATGTTTAAGATAACTACCTGGTCAGGCTCATCTTTGATCTTGCCATCCTTTCGCCCGAGATACACATAAACGGCACCCTTATCCACGGATTTGCGTATATCCTGACAAAAGGGACAGGAGACGGCCAAATCCTCTATGCCATCGCCATCCAGGTCTCCTACTGAGAGAACCACGTGACCAAATCGACCTCCAGAGCGTCGAGGACCTCTCAAGATCACTGGCGGCTCATGCATGTACTCTCCATGGCCGCGCTGACCTACTTCGCTTTCGCCTTCTGTGTATCCTGCACCCATAACTCCTTCCTGTGATTTGCCATAGAAGACGTACACACGACCCACATCGGGAGTTATCGGTCGATAGCGGTTTTCCGAATTATCTCCTTCGTCCGCCTGCATTGCCTGGTCCGCCTGCATGGCTTGTAAGTTTTCAGGTCCTTGCTGGGATTTGATAAATCTCTGGTTTTCTGAGAAGTACGGTGATCCTACTATAATTTCTGGGATTCCGTCGCCATTCAAATCAGCGGCCGCGATGCTACGAAAGAAGAGAGTTGGTGAGTTCTCTCTTTTGGGCGTTCGGTGAGAGAGATTTGAATCGAAATCTTACCTATATCCAAAGAAACTGCCAATATGGCCCCATTTATCATTGATGTATTGGATCTAAAGTTGGATGCATCAGAGTTTATTACCTCTTTCAAGGCGTGTCCAGCTGCAAATAAGATAGCCTTAATTGAGCCGAATTGACTATTTTTAGCCATGCATGTATGGATACGGGCTATTCATTCAAGGGCATTAACCCACCGAGTCTAGGTTGAGCGCCTCAGTTAGAAGCATGACCACTCCCAGATAGTCATTGTCAACCCATATGGGACTCGAAGCGAGAATAGTGAACTGACTGAAGGAAGGATTGGTGGTTTGATTTTCCCATCGGTGATGCTTGTACAGGCCGACAGCATAGCCCAAGTTGAAGCCCTTGTGTTTGAGGTCCTGCGGTGTGCTCTTTAGCCGCAGCTGTTTTATAACCCGCTGACCCTGGTAATGCCCGAAGAAGACGTTTCCCTCGGTAAGGTAGGAACCAGGCATTCCAAGAACTATGAATGCTTCTCCAGGCTCATAACCTTAAGCAGCAAATAAACGGAAAATTAATTTTGTTGTGACCAATTTTCGGCTCAAAATTACTACTTTCCTGGGTATTAATTGTGAAAACATGTACTTTTTAATCTCATCCGCCACCCCTCAAAAAAATGACTTGAGAAATATCTTCTCAAAACCGACTATCAAAATTGGTGGCGCAGAATTGGAAAGAAAATCAAGCCATAAAATTTGTAATGCATTTACTTCAACGCAAACCAAGACTAAAATTTTCATTGTTCAGACACCGATCGCATGTGCCTAATCTGGTTCAGTTGCTTTTATCATCGAGGTGGCTGATGTAATTCGTTTGCATTCCTCCCTTTGGTATTATTAATTCGTCATCTTTTTGAAGTACACTTCGGGGCATTTGTTCTTCAACCGCTTGTCACTTTTATCAAAAGCTGCGACGTTGAACTTGTACACATGCGTTCCAGAGGGACCGATTGAACGTGCATAGTCTAGCTGCTGGCATTGGGCCCACGTCTGGTGAGAACCACCTCCAAATTAACCCGTCTCTTCACTGAACGGTTAAATTTGTTCCAAAATGGCTTAGCTAAAGTAAAACACTCACTCGTACTTGAGGCTTGGGAAGTGATCCGGTGGTTTATTACACGGACGTGTTGTAGTTATTAAAAAAGGCTCACTTACGGTTACAGGAATGCCTGTCTAATGTCAAACTCTAAAGATGCACAGAAATGCCGTCCTGTGTGTTAATACAGTAATAACGCCGTTACTTTGGACTTACCGATATTTTGGCAACGTTGACCACATTTGGGCTACTTACAGGGAGAAGGATAAGCTTTTGAGATAGCAGCATAAGCAACGTATCGCAAAATTGTGACTACTTCGAATTCTTTAGCATTTAGACATGACAGATGAAACACTGAAAATTCCTCAGCCTGCAAATCATTTCAATCTTTTTTGATCTTCAAAGTGCTTAGCTTTATGTAATTAGCATGAGATTTGTGAGTGTACAGGGAATTTCCTGACAAAATGATGACGGAACGCGTGTTTCCCCTCCCATCAAGAGGTCACACTTCTGACCTAGTCCCGAAGCTGCACAGCCGTTCGAATGAGGGAAAGAGGTCAAGCTCCGGTTTAATTAGAAGTCATCCACACTCAACCATCAGAAATAATGAAGGGACCTGTCTCAATACTTAGGTTTTGTGAGATCAGGCCGTGGCTCTTCGCACGACCCTTACGACACACAAGACAACCGTTTAAAAGTATGCAATTCCTCAAACTTCTCGGTTCCGAGCCTCCGCAAGCTACTCTCGTCCTCATTGGTTCTCTATGATTACCCAAATCCAAGTTCAGGCAAACTTTGAAGGCCACAATCAAGTCCAGTACCATAAATAATGCAAGGACAAGATGGGCTTGACTTCGGTGGTCACGTACGTACACGTCGTAACTCCAATTTACTCATACTCGTCGGTAAAATAAAAAACGTCTATTTTGAAGTCTTTGTTTCTAATCGCTTTGGTTAGGCTCTTGAGTAGATCCAAGCTTTAGGTTGCAAGGAGACCGCTCACCTGCGAAGCTATACATCACTCTATTCCCCTAAAGCAGATTAATTTATCAAGCTAGTGTCAAAATTCATGCGAAACAAAGGCCCTTTTCGATTCGTTATGCTTTATTTATGCTAAGTGTCAGTGACAATTATTCATTGTTAAGATTGGGAGGCTCCCCCACATGTGCTGCTTTGTCTTTGATTAGCTCGTAGGAGCAAATGGTGCTTTTCAACAACTTCGGTCTGATGCATCCCATTGCCTCATGCTGCGACTTTTTAAATACTCTACACATATCCTTAGGCAAAACGTCTGCACCTCTGGAGTAGCATTAATCGCATCCCTCAAAGCAGACAAGCATGAACGCCACCACATTTAACTGGCAATCTATGACAGAAGGGTTCACAACAGGAGAGGAATGGAAGCCGCACCTATGCACTGACGCTCCTACCTGTCTCAGAGCGCAAATAAACAGCCGCATCTTACAGGTCTTTATGTCACTGCACGACAAGATACCAAAACATGGTGGCAAAAACTTGCACCAAGTTTTTCCCTCACTCTGGCAGCGACTGACACTTAGCCCCAGGTCATATGCCTAGGTCTGGTGCTTATCTGGTACATTAGGCATCTAAGTCCATAATGCACGCTATTAATTAACTTGTCAAGTCCGAGGGTGCAACTTCAAATGAGCGCAAAGTCGTGTTTGTCATAGCCTCCATGCCGCATCTTCGTCGTCAGAATTTCACGTTAGTAAAGCGCCTAAACTTCCAGCTCACTAATCAAGTAATAATACTATTGTATAAGAAAAATAGTTCGTGCGTTGGCTCCACAATTTACTACATAAAATGGTATCATCAGAGCTTTCCACCTTAATTTCTGTGCAATATAACAGCTGAGATAGGCAGGGCACCAAAACCGGCTTGCTCTCCTTCGTCACTTAACACTTCAATTGGATGATTTAAGGAGCATGCAATCCGATCCGGAATTTAAACCTTTAATACATATAACCTGATTAGCTTTTATACTCAATTAGAAACTAACTGCTATCCCTTGCATTTGCACCGACAATTGAGATTTGTTTACGAAATACTGACATGAAACACTTTCCACGTCAATGTGGCCTCTACGATGAAAAGTCTACGCCCTCCTAATCCCTTAACCATGGAGAGAATTGTTTACCTGACTCGAGAGCACCGCTAAAACCAGATAGACAGGCGCCTTCCTCGGCGCTAACGCAGGCGTCAATAGGAGTGTACTGCATGGAAACTCCGGTGTAGAGGGCGCAAGTGCCCGTGCCCACGTTCTGCATTTCCAAACCAGGTAAGGAAGCAGAAACGCTGGAAGCCTTGGAATAGAGGGTGAGAGCGGAAGGGGTGTAGAGGTAACGCGGATCACAGCCGAGTTGGAGTCCGTCTCCGCCGTTGCTGGTGGCTGCCACCAAACCACCAATCCATTGAGATACTGAAGGCACAAACAATCATTGGCATTTAATCGAAATTGATGGCCGATTCTCCGGTTTATTCTGCATGACTGGATGTCTTTGGATGCTACTGCCTCGAAGTAGTTCATTCCATGACTAAACGGCAATGTTGAAGTGCCGATAATATGGCCGCAATTATTACAATAAGTTGTTTTCAATGCTTCCTTAAGGGGAATTCTACTTGGAAGAAAAAACGGTGGGCAAAGTGTGCTTGTTGGGTCATCCCGATTTGGAATCCGTTCGTATGATCCGGTTGTGGAAAGGAAAGAGCAATTTCAAAATTGA